AACCGAATTTGTGTCGATCTCATCGAAAGAATTTACGAAATCCTTGTATGATTCAACATGTTGTCAATATAGCCCAGGGATGACAGTTGGCTACACGTTCTTTCCCTTTCTATCAACGTGTTGTCTAAGCAGTACTCAAATAGGCGAAGTTCAATAACAGCGTCCCAGGAGTGTGAACACTCCAATGACCTTGAACGCATGCTAGTCGTTGGCTAACGGCATCTGTCATTATCATAGCTGAAATATCAAATTATTACCAACTTAGGAGCAACCAGATCAGTTAAGTAAGTATTGGTTAGAATAGTATAATTACGGTAGTCTGCTGGAAATCATAATAATTCAACCGAGGGCTTTTTTGGAAGACTGCAAGCAGGATGAGAGAGATAAACGATTCACAAAAACAGTTTATCTGTAGTCATCTCGGTGAATACATGTACAGAAACTAGTCTAACTTAGCAACTGATACTCCTCGATATAACTAGGACGTACTTTTGAGTCTTGTCAGATAAAGATAACCTGTTTAATGTGTTTAAGTATTTTCTTGTCGATATACATTATTTTTTGAAATTCATATTGGGCGAAGTTAAACTTTAAGCATCAGTAGGAAGTAGCAACGGACAAATGACCTTGAACGCACCAATCACATGATAAACGCGATTCCTATGCATAAAATACATATGTATTCATGTAAATAATGAATTAAAAGGCATGAAACTCCGTTACACAGGATACCTTTCTCTGTTTATGGGCTTGGAACCGGTAGAAACTAGCGAGCTATATCGACGTTTGACGAAAATTCCTGTCAGATTTAGATTGGAGTGTCAACAGATTAATTTTTAATTAACTACATTCTAACCCTAATCTTTCCTTAACCTAACCCTGACTTTAAAATATCTCTAAACGAACATTATTGTCGTCCTCGTTAGGTTAACCTAACCCTAACCTGTCCTGTCCTTAGTCTAAACCTTAACTTAATCTTTACTAAATCTCAGCTGAAAATTGTCAGATATCCCATCTAAATAACATAACACTTCATTGAGCATATTTTATTCATGATCTGAATATTATTTATCAGGTTTCACTAACCTGCTCACTGAGTATTCCAAGGTGATTGGTGCGGTTGTACTCCACCGGTACTTACTTCTGCTTAAAGTTTAATTTGGACCTTAAATACTAGATGTGGATAAAATTTGTTACATAACTCGAGCACAGTACCCATAATTCCGCCTATGAACTACGGGTTCATATCACTGGTTCCCTAAGGTCATTGATCCATTCATTATTTAGTCTCGTTTTGGGTGCTGTTATAGTTTGGAATCACCTCTCGTTTCATTCTGTAGAGACACTTCAAACTTGTATATTATACAGAATGCATTCGATGTCTGTTTTATTTAGCTGGGTGTATTTGATTGTTGTCGTCTTTACTGGGTCAGTGTTGTATCTATATGCTGTCTATTTTTAGCATAGATGGGAAAAATAACAATTCTCATAGATTGCTAGTGTATTAGCCTTCAGCAATATCGTGATTATGTGTGAACTAGAATTTGGATACATCAGTTTTAGTTGTGTTTCTCGGTTAAACTGATAACGCTGTTTCTCCTACATTTATTTACTTAATTTCAAAAATCTCGGCACTTGCAGCATCAGATATTCACAGCCCTGTTTCCCATCGATAGCAATCTTTAATTCCGGGATAATCCTTTGTTCTTACATATACGGGTAAGAAAACACATGATGATCAGTGAAGAAACTGTCTCCAGGTTCTTCATTTTTACTACAGTTATTCATTCTTAATTACGTACAATAATAGTTAGACTTTGTGGAGTTAACAAGCTACCGCAAAAACTTAAAGAAGACCTACTCAATGACCTTGAACAACCAATGAAAATAACCGTATGATTAGGATGCATTAATCGTCAGAAAATGACTAGATCACAGGGTAGCAGTCTTTAACACGTGGTTAGATTCCTGTAAATGAGCATTAAATATAGGCCAAGTTAAACTTTAAGCACCACTAACTACCAATGGAGTGCGACCGCACCAATGACCTTGAAACGGTCACTGAACAAGTTAGTGAAACCTGGTAAATAATATTGTCATCATCAATAAAATATGCTCATCGAAGTGTTATGCTATTAAATGGGATATCTGACAAGTTTCAGCTTAGGTTTGGTAAAGATTAAGTTACGGTTTAAGCCAAGGACAAGTTAGGGTTAGGTTAACCTAATAAAGGCGACATTAGGGTGATTGGTGCGAGTTAGAGATATTTTCACGTAAGGATTAGGTTCAGGAAAGATCAGGGTTACTGTTAAGGTTAGAAGACCTAGATAATTACATTCATAGAATGTAGTTAAATTACTCTGTTGATATAAGAATAGAACTTGTGCACTATGCATAGTGCACGCAGTTATCAGCCCTAATTTCTTATAGCATGTTATATAATAGGAGGTAATCTGTATGCAGCCCTTTACTTAGAGATTACATAACTATTGATGCTTGTCAGAAATTGACTTTGTATTCTTCGATTTCATCACGAACCAACATCAGTTAAAGAGATCACTCAGAACTAGGGAGCGCCGGACAGTTGTTTCGTCTTATTTCGGGACTCTTCACACTGCAGTGCATACTCACCCACTAACCGACAGGGGATTGAATCCAGGATCTTGAGATTACTGATCAAGCTCATCGAGAATTTAGCCACCTGTTTGGGAATTCAGCGATCGGTGAATTGTAACTTGTGGAAAGTCTGAGTATCCATAACTGCTGACCATTCAACATCACTGGGACGCAACCCAATGAAAAGTCTATGAATGATAGTTAGCAATGTTACTGCTGTGATTATGTAATCGCTCATTATATTTCAGTTCACCAGTATTAATTTCTTTTGACCTGCAGAATCGCACAATTAATCATTTTTAATGTTATTTATTTCGACGTTAGTTCCGAATGGAATTCAGGTGACGCATTTCTTCCTGTGTTCGGACGAGTCATTAGCTGGATGATGTAAACATGCACTCATTAGGCTGATAAAACAGAGAATTTCCAACAGGAAGCAAAATTCATTCGATACTAAAAATCAGATGGCTTGTTAAAACTTGGTAAACGAGCAATAACAATGATAAACTTCATCACAATTGTTGATACATTAGATAATTATAATTTTCAAGTATTGGTTTTGTATGGATTTTTTTTATTGGTTGGAGGATTTCATCATGAGCTGACATCAGTTAGAGAACCATTGGAAAACTAGCTGGGAATACTGGACAGTTGTTTCGTCCCAGTTTGGGACTCTTCATCAGTACGCACTGACCAAAGGGGTTCGAACCCACGACCTTCCGGCTACAAGGCCATCTCGTAGACCATTAAGACGGGTAGGTAGTTACCTGGGGTTCTAGTGGGAATTCGTGACTAGTATGATGCAGCAGGCCAGGTGTGAGGACAAAATCTCGCCGAAGATATTGGCTAGCAGTCGCGCCATGTCGTGAATAGGCAGAAGTTAGAATTCAAAGGCCATTGGATTGGGTCCCAGTGGCTTAATGGTCTACGACGTGGCTCGCCTTGTAATCGGCAGGCCCTGGTTTCGAATCCCTGTGGAGTGGGGGTATACTGCTGAAGAGTCCCAAACTAGGACGAAACAGTAATCCCAGCTGGTTCTCTAACTGATGTCAGCTCATGATGAAATCCTTTGACTAATAACTGTGAAAAAATACATTACCACTGGATTGGTAGAACATTTTTGTATTATGTGTAGTAGAGTAGAGCTAGAGTGAGATGATGATCGGATTGAAAAGTGAATATTTCTTCACTCAGTCATTTTGCCCTCTAAATGTCTAAACGAGGTTTTTTTAAGTGCTCAATAGATTTCAAGGCGGAGAACCAATGAAATCAAACAAATCCGCGCAAATCAACATTTGAATTAATCTAGTACTCACTAGTGACTGACTACAGGATAAAGCAGCCTGGAGTTCTAGTGAAAGAAGTCATGACCATTAAGGGCCACCAAGTGTCCAGTGTGAGGACAATTCACTTGCCGACGACATCGGCTGGCTGAGACTATATACATCGCGAGTTGACAGAAGTTAGAAGTCATGTGGACCATTGGATTGTGTCTCAGTGGCTGAATCGTTAGCGAGCTTGCCTTATGAAGAATTCTGGGTTCTATTGCCTGTGGTGTGTGTGTGTATGTGAGTATTAGTGAAGAGTTCCAAAATAAAGACAAAACTGAGTGATATCAAGTCTGATATATAGACACTGGTCCGCCTTCTGTAAGTGAGGTCACAAAAGCTATCTGTAATTTGAAACGAGGCAAAGCGGTAGGACCCGACGGAATTATTCCGGATGTGTTTAAATATGGGGGTGACATACTAGTATGCAGATTAACTAAGGTACTAGGTAACGTCTGGGAATCAGAGACAGTTCCATCAGACTGGGGTAAGTCACTTATTATACCGATATTCAAGAAGGGAGACAAGTCCTCATGTGATAATCATAGGGGGATCAGCCTAACGAACATAGTTTCTAAAATCCTAGGCTCAGTAATCATGCACAGACTAAGCAGAACTCGGGAGGAAAAAACGAGGGAAAATCAAGCAGGCTTTAGGCCAGGTAGAGGGTGCATAGATCATATCTTCACTCTCCGACAGATCCTAGAACATAGACACACTTTTCGGCGTCCAACAATTGCCATATTTCTTGACTTGAAGGCGGCCTTCGACTCCGTGGATCGAAAGGTACTATGGCAATGTTTGACTGTGAAGGGAGTGCCAAGAAAGTACATTGCACTAATCAAGGCACTCTACTCAAACTCACGTAACCGTGTAAGGGCTTATGGGGAATTGTCATCTGAATTGATAACAACCAGTGGTGTCCGTCAGGGATGTCCACTTTCCCCATTTCTGTTTAACTGAGAGTCTTCAAATCACTAGGTATACGCTACTTTCTTCAAGTTATGACAATCTATGAATACTGTCAGTTCTGAAATGAAATCTATCTTAAAGAGCTTGTGAGTGCGTGGGGGGGGGCGGGGGGCAGGTTAACACACAGCTGGCTATAAATAATTACAAGTACGCCATTGTGCCAAAGGTATCTCTCAAGAACAGTGAACAGAAATACATACACATAGATATGTATTATATAGTGCATAGGATATTTTCTTTACTATTTATTCATTCATTCACAAAACTGCAGCAGATATGAGAAAGGGAAAGAGAGCGGGAGAGAGAGAGAGGAGTAAGTGTGACAAAAGGGGAGAGACACGGTGGTAGAATGGAGAAAACGACTAAGAGTAACAAAAAAGCAGCAAGAGAAAGAAGGAGAATACACAGTAGAAAAAGAAAAACAAACACAATAAATACTTAAAAATTAACAATGAAGACGACAGAAAAATCATGTTAGCGTATTTATATGATTAAAAATACGAATGAACGGACAAATGTCCGTTTGTCTGCTTTCAAAAAGATTAATTATATAATCAACATGGTCACATGAAAGTGTGTAACTCCAAAGAGCGAAAGGAAGGGAGAGAGAGAAAGGGATTTGTGTCTGTGTGTCACAGAACGACGACAGTAAAGCATCAGCTTGATGAATTCATTCATGAGTGAGTGAGTGAGTAAGTGACTGACTGACTGATTCGTTGGTTGGTTGGCCGAAAGAATGACTGATGCATCAGAAGCAGAAGAAGGCGGATAAAATCCCGAATAATAGTAACAATAATAATAATAGTAATGATAATATATACATAAATATATATGCATGCTGTGAGTAGTATTATTTCCACCTTTAATTAGCACATGGTGTTGGCGGTGGTGTTGTTTATTTATTCTTTTTATGCATCTTTTCACCACCCTGTCTAGTTATTTTCTATGCTACTAATTCATCATTTTTATAAACGTTTACTTAAAAAGTGATAAGCAGCGACTAGACCAACTGCACCGACAGCTATTGTAGCTACACTTGTCAAAGCTGTACGCAATGAACGTAGAGTTTCATCATCTGTGAAACCAGTCACTAAACCGATTAAACTGCTTGCATCACTTGTCGGAGGTAATTGATTAGCTTCATGACGTTGTGATTCAAAATCGATTAAGCCTTCCTGTAAGATTAAGAGGAAGATGAGAAATAAAAAAAAAGGATAGCGAAAGATGAAATCAATGGAATTATTTATTGATTAAAACGATATCATGTTACAAACTAAGAGAGATGTCATTCTTTCTTTCTTTTTATTCCTTTGCGTTCCCAGTGGAAAATAGGGCTTCAAGCTACAGAGGCTTGAAGTTTCAGTAGCAGTGGTGTTTAACTTTTTACCGGATGGAGTTACTAGCCAGTCTCATGTCCAACCTTCTCTCTTTGCCAGTCCTATTACTACCGTAGCAAGGGTAAAGGAGTGCGTCGGTGGCCGGGGATCAAACCCCAAACCACCTGCATGGCTGGGGAGGATTCTACTGCTGTGCCACCGACGCATTAAACTTGTCGTACAGCAATGAACTTATTGGAAGACACAAAAATTCACTATATACCAGATGGTTATTGATGACCTTTAGATTACAAGGTGAAACAATTGACCATTCAAAGCATTAGGGATGAAATCTACAAATACATGAATTGTAGATTCAGTTAATTCTCTCTTTAAAAAAAATGGAAATGTTCCGTATCTTAACGCCAGCAGTGTCTTTCATTTGGTATAACCTTTCTTTTCCTCAGTGAAGCTTTTTGAGCTGAGAAGAGAAGAAGTGGACAAATCTTAAGAAGAGTGTCTCTTTTAGACAACAAACACCAAGACGAAATTCGAGATAAGCTTTTTACACGTTTGTGATTGTGTCATCTAAAACTCGTTCAGTAAATAAGTCCCAGTTTGTATGGATCTCAGACTCCGTATATTGTCATGGTGTAACAACAGAAGGCAAGACACCAGAGCCAAGGTATATTTTCCATTGATCAAACCGTTGTTTATATATTGACAGTTTATATTCTTTAACCAATCACTGAGCGTGTGATTTCGGTTTACACCAATAGGGCATGAAATAGAATGTTCAAATACATACGTAGTATTCTTTTGCTAATGCCGAATTGAACTGTGGGAATTATGCAAGAATAATATCCTGTTGGCACAGATTGTCTGTATCACACCACCACAATGGGAGTAACATCTACATTGTGTTTTCTTGACAAGTTTCAAGAATGCCCTTTTGTGCAGCTTTTCATATATTTTGGGCAATATTCGTATGATACAATGATCAGAATAGGGTAGTGAGGCTCTATTTTCCGAGCTTCAAATATGCCGAATTCATTTGTAAACATTAGCTCAAGGCTATTTTCTGGTCGTATCAAAACATTGACATTAATTTCATGACATTATGATGTAAGGAAACTGTAGTCACAAGAATTGAAGTCGCTAGTAACTACTGTCAAGGATTTTCCAAGGCAGGTGGCAATAAAGGAAGGAAATCCATTCAACGAATAAAGACAGTTCTGAGAGACTACATCCAGATGCAATACAGTTCGCTTACGTCTCCTACACATAGCTGAAGCTGTTGCAATAAGATCGACTAAACGGAAACTTTGTATCCAAAAAGAACACGTCCAGACGCTGTTCCCACCGTGGCCGAACTTGGATTGATGATTCTTCTTCTCACCAAGAGTGCTCCTTCCCCTAAACCCGCTTGGGTTTTTTCCCTTTGCTTATTATTACAATTATTATTACTATTCGTCATAGTTTATGCCCTTCATGCAAACATTTCCTCAATACTATCGAATATTTCATTTATATTATACTATCCGGACTTATTATTAGTGAGATTATCTCTTTTTTCTTTTCTCCACCTGTTTCATTTCACACATTCGTTATTTCATTATGAACCTCTCATTGCAATCTTACTATCTCCTGTTTAACACAGACCACTTTGTATTAGCCACTCACCTGACTCCTTTTATAACCTTGAACTGACTTGTCAATTTTCCTACCCCACACTCTACAAATCTATTATGATTAATCACCACCATTGTCTCCCATCTTAAGATATTTTGTAATCGATTTCAGCCCAGAGCACGTTTGTCACACAAATACGACTATTTATTTTCATACCCCATAACTTAACTGTTATTCTACGTTAAAAGTGTATCCACCGCATAACTGGCTATCATTATTGTAACGACAACAAATATTATATTTTATAATTGTAAGAACCTGAAGAGAGAAATTATTGAAAAGAATATTCTTCGTTCAGATTGACTTTTAATGCGATATAAATGCTTGAAAGGTATATGTAAGTTGTATTTAGACTGGTGTTTTGGTCGACATGTGACAGTGAACCAATCAATTTTGCCACTAAAGGATCTCAAACATACATTATTTGAAGTACACCACTAAGAATTGATGAGGGTTGCAACGCCAACACCACATTTCTTCTTAGAGCTACCCCTGTCTTGTCTGAATAGTCTGAAACCGTTTAAACTGACTAAATTATCATCTTATAGCTTATGGAGACAGGTTTCTTGAAGAGTGATAATCCCTGCACTGTGGTATACATTGAAGGGCACGGGGGATTGCAGACAGCTAATTTTACCTGACAGTAAACGACAGTTTGTGCTTATAAACTCAGGAACAGTCATTTGATGTATTGAAATATGTTTTAAAGCACGCTGCCACCCATAATGGTGCCTTTTCTTTGATTTTGTGGAAATCTGCATATCCGGAAGTTTTAAGCCTTTTAATTATTAGTTAGTGTAGACGATGCGATTGGAGACAATATTTTTAAGAGATTAATTAAGTTGAAACACACAGGACACGAGAAATTACATGCAATATTAAAATGGAAGGATTTTTTGCGGCCCAAGATTTAAAAAAGCTGCCGATTAGCCATACAGAAACTCACTAACACGACAATGGTCATAGAAAGTATATGATTTCTACACCCACAATTTCGCGCACTTCACCACTACCGAATTCCTGAGACACTTTACAATATAGAAATATTATTTATGTAGTTTTGTAACAACAGAAGACAAGGGCCAGGCAACAGATCGTTTATTAAGGAAAATCAACACATATTTATAGATTTTAATGTACATGATTGTAGATTATTGTTAGTAGAAAATACAGTCTTTTGATTGGTTGTTTCTCACAGAAAGTTAACCTTGCCTCTCTTTGTGGCTGTATCAGATCATCCATATGCTAACTGTATCCGCCTACGCAAAGCCTTTGTTCTCATTTTCTCACCACCAATATTGGGGACATAAACATTGACGTCAATTACTGTCTACCAACTTTGGCTAGCAGCCAGCTCTCACCACAGTTTAAAATATCTGATACTCGGACGACTATGATCCGTTGGGATTTAACAATGCCATAAACATTTCATGCAGTCAACCAGATGAGAGACAGCCTACGAAGAGTTGTCATGTAACAACTCTGATGACAACCACGGGTGTCCGTCAGGGATATCCACTGTCCCCATTTCTGTTTCATTTCATCATAGATGTACTGATAGACTTAACCTCAACTGACTTCAGCGACTCACGGATTGAATTGTTACCATCATCAGGGAATAATCTCGTTGAATTAGAATATACAGATGATAGGTTTTCTGTAGTTCTCCGTGTACTTAATTGGTCTTGAATGCAAACTTCTTAAATCTCGGTCACATGTATACGTCAACGGGAAATCACAACCATGCATAAATAACTTCAAATCATACCCCTGTTTCAAGAAATGTGGCTGCCGTCACTCAACCCACTGACCTACTGGATGACTCTTCGACGTTTGAAGCGATAAGTATTGGGTTTGCTTCTCTATGGAGAGCAAGACCGTATACAGCTGACCAGTCCCAAAAAGGGTGAAACGTCCACCCTGGATCCCTACTGCTGAGTAAACTAATAACTTCGAGTTCATTATTAGGTTTTACAAAGATACACTTGATTTTAGAAGCGAACTCTGCCAGTGATCATCTCTCTCACGCACTAATACGATTCAGTGGTGTGTTCTTCTACAATTTCTAAACACAAATGCCGCCACTTCGATCTGAAATGCTCCTCATTAAATATTGTCTTACACTCTTTTCCCTTTTCTATTCCCTAATTCATGACGTGAAATACACCTCTACATTACACAGCAAATATCTTGTTTTTAGGTTACCTTTTCAGTGATCATTATTTATCTCATTTTTGTTCTCTCTAAATGACGCTGTGTTGTTTTACAAAATAAAGCTTAACCAATATGATATCTGAAGTTCTAGACTCAATAGTCATGTGTTGACCAAGCGGTACTCGGGAGACACAAACACGAGAACCAGGCAGGCTTTAGACCAGGAAGAGGATGTACTGTGCGTGACACTAAGGTGGGGAGAAAAGAACACCTTGTTTTTATTAGTCATTCTTTGTATTATTCACTCAGTGCACATATACTTTGTATGTGTTTATGAATATTTGTTGCGTCATATTGGTGTTATTTGTTGTCTATATAGAACTGAGTGTTCCGTAGGCAACAACACTGACTCATCTACATTTATCTGTTGTTATTTTGACTTAGCGTTAGTGCCATAATATGTACACACACACACACATGGTGTAATGTTATTATAATGCATTAAACCAGATGACGGACGGAAAGCTAAACAATCACGAAACAGGAGTGACAGTCTTTGTCTTATATATAATGTGTGTGTATGCGTGTGTTTATATATTGAGAGAAGTCCAATTGTGTTCAGCACATGAGTGATTGACTGACTGACATCTTTGTGAAAACTTCCAAAACAAAGTAAGTAATTGCATCAGGTTTCAAAAACAGGATTTAATTTTTGACAGACTAGTTTCAACGTAGAACTTTGCACAGAGGTGTACATCAGTTCTGGTTGCCACTCTTCCTCCTTACAGCACACATATCAAAAGAACAGAGTAAAGAGAGATTCAAAAGAGAGAGAACAACCCACTGGAGCTGGCTGATGCATTTTCCCAAATAAGTGAAGTGGTCAACAAGCTCAGCCAGCCAGTCACCACTTCACTCCTGCCTATCTTTGAACTAGCAGTGAGTCGATGTAGTAGTAGTCCAGTCCACTCCACTCCTGTAGCATCATCATCATCTTACAATTGTTAGAAGGGGCGAATCACATGCCAAACATTCGAAGATTGGTGCTCATGCTGAAGGTGTTCAGAAGTCTCCGCTCTATTTTGTCAGCGTCATCACCCACGAGAGAAGACTATATCATCTACACATTCGAATTCAACGAGATTATCGCTTGATGTCGCTGATATGACATGATACAGAAAAAATTAAATTTATTACGTGAAACCCCACTAGAGAACGGCTATCCACCAAGATTCATAGACAAAAGCATGAAAGAGAAACCTCCGTCGCCAGTTAATCCAGTCTAACGTTAAGCATAAGATACCGCTTTTGGCCACTTCAATGTGTATTTATCAATTTGCTTGCTGGTGTGGAGCAAAGTATATCGGCCATACGCAACGTCAAGTCCAAAAACGTATTCTGGAACACAGTCCAGCTTGGTTAGCCAGAGGAGAAAAGAAGAATAGCAGCAGCTCCATCCTCAAACACCTTGTCAACTCTGAACATAAAGCAACCCTACTTGCATGAATGCTTCACAGTGCTACGCAGATTCCCTCAGTATCGTACAAAGGAACTTCATATACGCCATCTGTACATAACTGAATCATTGGCTGGCTATTTGGGATCTGAAACCGGACCTCTGCATTCAAGAGCGCTACATACATTCACTCCCCCTACCATGGGCAGAGTAAGGTTATCACTATAATTTTGCCTCTTTATTATCTCATGAAAATGAGTTGTCGAAAAGGAAATTTCCTTCGCTGTTTACACCTTTTTCTTATAACTCAATATGGCAATATTTCGTTCAAATGGGATATATTCGACAGCCTTGTTCCGGATACACTAATTCAATACATAAAACTCCCTGTGTTACAGACATACTTGCATACTACGAAACCCCGATCAACGTTTCACTTCAACAGTACTACTAGACTAGTAAACAGATCAAAGTGAAGTAGCAAATCCATGAAGTCAGTAACTGTTGGTTTGAGTCTTAGAAGTTAATATCAGTAACTTGATTGCCGTTCCCATATATGACCACCACTGTTGAGAAACTTGACAGTTACATGAAGCAAAACAGAAAACATTGGTGCAGTTGTATTTTCTTTTTAGCTGTACAAAATTTTACAATTTTTGATGGCAACATTATTATTACTATTTTACTACCATAGACTTTATTAACTTTAACCTAATGAGAACATTCATATTGAATTGACACATTATCGCTATTACAACACGCTGACTTTATACTGATTTCATATTATAAATTATTTAAATTAATCCAAGCGTATTAAGAAAATCAAAACAAGATTTTTCTGAACGTTTCACATTGCCTAAAAATTGTTTATATTTTTTTATAGGATATTGACATAACAACCAGTTTATCATGTCAGTTTTTTTTCTGTCTCTCTGTCTGTATTCGACATACAACTTTGCACCTATGTGCAGCAGTTCAAGTCGCCATACTCCATGTAGCACACAAAGCAAAAGAAGAAAGTAGAAGAAATGCATAATATAGACTGTAAACAGAGGTGTGAGACAAAGGAATAGTGATAACGAAGAACAATATAGTTTAATTGGAAATCATAAGTCACAAGGAGTGGATGCATATGCGCCAGCCACTGACAACGATTTTGAGCCATTTCACCGATTGTCTCCAGCCATTGGTTTTTACCGTCCCGAGGACCCCAACCATACACCAGTCTACACCGTCCCACGTGGCTGGCTTAAACTAACTGTTGTGGATTTCATTGACTGGTGAAGTCATGTTTTCGTTTGACCGCTGCTGGCTCTTTTCCAGCCTGACCCTATATCAGCTAACACTGGCTGTCGAGGAAGGCGATGACTAGGCATGCGTAACACATGTCCTAACCATCTCAGTCGATGTAATTTCACAACCTCGTCGATTGATTTTCCCTCCTTACCTAAAACTCGACACCTAATCTCAATATTGCTCACCTTATAATACCACTTCACATGGGAGATAGAACGCAGACACCTATGATCAAAGACAACTAATCTTTTCATGTCTTCCACTCTCAATGTCCAGGTCTCACAGCCATAGAGGAGGACGGAGCGGACTGATGAGCAGTACACACGCCCTTTGTTCGATAGTCAGATATCACGCCTGCGCCAGAGACGGCGTAAACTGGCATATGCGAAACTAGCCCTCTGTATACATGCTGAGATTTCGTCAGATATCAACCCGTTGAGGCTGATGGCACTTCCCAAATAAGTGAAGCGGTCAACGTGCTCTACCACTTCACTTCATATTTCTAAGCTAGGAGTCAGTGTAGTCCAATCCTGTAACATCATTTTACATTTGGCGGGAGCGAATCGCATGCCAAACATTCGTAGATTGCAGCTCAAGGTGTTCAGAAGACTCCGCATTTTGTCAGCGTCTTCCCCCAGAAGGACTATATCGTCTGCATATTCTAAGTCAACGAGATTATTCTTTGGTAGCAAGTCAATTCCTGAGTCTTTGAAGTGAGTTAGGGGGGTGACAATGTAGAGCGCAACCACTATTAAATATCCAAGTCGTTATCTTCATAATTCAGTTGACGAGCCCAACCGGTTCCAATCTCGGTGAATTCGGTTGAGGAGTGGTAAAGAGGAAAGACACCCACTTGGAATCATTAATTAACTAACATGAGTTAGAGCGAATCACTGAAAACTACAGAACACCAAATCGGCCGTTTCATTCAATTCAGGTGGGCACCAGCCAACGACCCCTACACCAAGGATACTTCGGTGATCTCCTAACTGATGTTGTGGTGAGAGCTGGCTGCAGGCAGCAATTTGCGTCAGTGTTACGTTCCGAGTCAGGGTCATGAGAAAAAACAAGAACAAAGCCTAACCTTGAGGAACTCAACAACCAATCACAGTAGACTTAACGTGTGCAAATAGGATTCAAATGAAGTGTAAAATTGTTGAGAAAAATGTTTGGTGCATATATAAACGCTAGCTTACCCAATTCCCATGAGATGATATCCAACTCCAAAGTTCTCGAGGACCATGGATAAATTCAGCTGTCCATAGAACATAATCAGCTACACACGGTCGCATAGACGGTGATAAAAGAAATTCTTTAATAGACGATTGATACTGCTCTTCAATTGAAGAAATTTTTATTTTTTTATTTGGGGATTCATTGCCATCATCACCACCACCAGTACTGGGTGTTTTGTAACTACATGAAGGAAATGATGAGTCTGAAGGCAGTACCTAGAAAAAATATATATATACATATACTAATAAATTAACTATCAAAATAGTTTTTTCTTATGAAAGAGGGCTGATTAGTGCCAATAAAATGATGTATTATACAATCAATATATTCTAGCAATTAAATTCATAAAATCTCGATGTGGTTTAAGCTTGTAACGAAGTGAATCAAATTCACTTTATGGCCAGAGGAAATGCTCAATACATGTACTACTGTGGTGTGTGCTACTGATGATAAGATTTATCAGTGTAATAAATAAAGGAATGTTCATCGGCATAAAAATATCAGTTAGAGAACTATTGAAAACCAGGGAGTAACAGCTGTTTCATCCTAGTTTGGACCCGATTCAATGGTTCCAGTGACTGAATGGTATACGTGCTAGTTTGCCTTGTAACCGGGAGATCCTGGGGTTCGAAACCCAGTGGTTGCGTCCCGATGATGATTCCCAAACTAGGAAGAAACAGCTGTCCAGTAATTCCTGGTTTTCGATGGTTCTCTAACTGATATCAGTCCGTGGTCAAACTCGTAAAAACAAATTTAATCCTCACAAATCAAATCTTGAAAATAAAAATATCAAATAGAAGGGAGACAGATTTGACGTCAGAGAAAGCTAATGATTCAGTGTTGCGGAGATACATGAGAGATGTGAAAGGAACACAAAGAAACACAATATGAAGGAAGGCGAGAAGTAGCACAACACGGAAGATCTGTGAAAATGGTGATTTGAAGAAATGGGTGTACATAATTTCGCTACATAGCGATACCAAATCCCAAATACACATTCCTTTACCAAGTCTCTGGTCTTATACCGTTACACCCAGGGTTGCCCAATCTCTCCATTTCTCTTTAACTTTGCCATCGATGACATTCTGGAGTCAGCTCTGAAGGATGTGCGTGAAGGTGGTGTAGATCTGCTACCTGGAGATAGACTTTTCGACCTCGAGTATGGAGACGATATCGTCTTACTGTGCGATAGCATGCAGGCTGCCTAAATCGCACTTAATCAGTTGGCGATCAGAATCTGTAAGTACGGTATGTACTTTGCACCGTCTAAGTGCAAAGTACTGTTACAAGATTGGCAGGAGCCTGTACCTGCGCTCACTCTTGCGGGTGAACCGCTTGGAGTTGTTGATACGTTTGTGTATCTGGGTAGTTGTGTGAGTGTTGGCGGAGGCGTGACGGATGAGATTTCCAACCGTATAATGAAGGCTAGGGTGGCATACATCAACTTGAGCCACCTCTGGCGCCGTCGCGACGTTAGCCTGGCTGTCAAAAGTCGGGTATACAATGCTTCGGTGCGGACTGTCTTGCTCTACGCCTGTGAAACCTGGCCTCTCCGAGCTGAGGATGTGCGGCGACTCTGCATGTTCGATCATCGCTGTCTCCGCTGGATTGCTTGCGTTCGATGGCATCATCGCGTGAGTAATTCTGAGGTTCGGCGGCGTGTGTTTGAACACAGTGGAGATCGCCATTCATTGAGTGTCGTCATCTGGAAACACCGGCTCCGGTGGCTTGGACATGTACTGCGAATGTCATCCCAGAGGCTTCTGTACAGGTCTCTGTTTGCCAGCCCTGGGACGGGATGAAAAAGGCGGAGGGGTGGTCAGCCCATGACGTCGCGTCGTGGGATGAAGGATATTTGTGCTAGATTAGCATCGGTTAGTGCGTCACAACTCCCTGGTTGGGGTCCGCGAGATAGCTCGAAACGTTATCGGATATGGCCAAGAATCGTAATCAATGGTGAACGTGTCGCAATTTCCTTCTTTCTTCCCTTCCTGATGATAGTTAACGAATAGTGTTTGAAGTTGTTAAACATGACTGTTTTCCTTCCAGATGAAGTTCTTTATCCGTCTTCTACTTATATTTTTACTTTTAATCTATGTTGTTTTATTATTATTGTGTGGCGCATCTTTCTTGGTGCCACATTGTAACGAGTTTTTTCTGCGCTTAAATAAAATAAATTAAAAAAACCGTTACACCACAACGCATGTATTGAGATGCAGGGTGATTTTAACATTCTTCTTGTCAGGGTGGTCAGGCTTCAACACCGCGATGACCAAACAAGCTACAATGACTGGGACTTATGTGCCTGCAAGTCCTACCATGCCAGGAAAGTTGCTTGAATAGGAGTTAGACTAAAAGCAGTTACAATGGGGTACATGGGCTTCAAAATCTAGACGGATCGAATGGCGTACGAACCTGTATTGGTCACCGGCAACCATGGGAACGTAGCTCCTTGACGGTGCTCCGCTGCCTTGTGCATGAGACTCCAAGTCAAAGGCTCGGAGAGTGGTCACCTAAGACAACCACCTGCTTTGGTCTGGACATGCAGACAGTATCCCAGCCCTCGCAATAATGATGAATCAACAAATGATGAGAAAAAATTAATCACATGGTCATTCTCACGCTCACAAACAATGATGATACCTTTGGCAACGCGTTTCTTTTTGACCCTAATTTTATACATAGACTTTTGTCTCTTATTTTTGCTATCCTCGGTGTTTTCACTTCCGTCAGCCTCTCGTCCTAATCTGAATTCTCAGTCTATTTGTGGTGTTTTAAGATGTCAGTGAGTAGTCACCAAAATGCTAGAACACAGTGCGATATCTAACACAAATATCCTGAAGCTAGCTACCTACAATGCTCGGTCACTGACGCGAATTGGGCAACAGGCAAAAACATTAGAATGCCTCGCTATTGATGTCTGCTATATTTTGGAGACCCGTATTCAAGATCCCAGTGAAGTGCTTCGAATATCTTCTCCATCTGGAAGTTAGAACAGTATGTACCAACTGCGCTTGTCCGGAGGCCTCGTGGCGTCGGCATCCAGAGTAGCCGGTGTCACTGTCGCACTAGAGCGAAGGTGCATCACTAAACCGGATTCCCACTAACAGCCGTTTATTTGCTGTGATGCTGGAAGGGTATACGAAAGTAAGGAGTGGTAGACCAGATAGGCAGTGCCTGTCTATGCACCGACAAATTGCACGCCGGGTGAAATTAAGGATGGATTTTACTACCAACTGAGATCTCCTGAAACAGGCATATCATGGATATTGTAATGCTAGCCGGGGACTTGAATGCACAGGTTGGGCGTCTAATCACTAAGAAGAGTCGCCTAGGTGGTCAGTGGGGTTTACATGGTGGCAGGTCAGATAATGAGGACAGTCTTCTGAAGCTTTGAGCAGATTAAAACTTGTTTTTAGCTAGCACCAACTCCCAGCACAGCCATCGCCGTTGAGCTACCTGTAGTCCTTCCTCTGCCAATCAACCCTGGACTCAGATTGATTACATCCCTTTCAGTTTCTGATGACGAGAATGCAGATCCTTCTAGAGCGCATGCCTGAACTCAAAACATGTTTTAATGTGTGCCAGGTTCGTTTTGAGATTTTGTGGGATTCATAAATGGAGTCCTTTACAAGTTGATGTGAGCAAATGTTAGCACCTGCTACCTCTTTGAAGTACCACACCAATCGACATAGAGGTCCAAGAGGAACTTCAATTGTCGGAATGCCATAAGGCACAAGGCCAAGACAATCTATCTCCGGTTCTTCTTAAAGATGGTGGTGAGATTCTCGTTATGGCTTCGACCGGTTTCTTCAGGGAAGTGTGGGAAAGTGAGGAATGAAGCCATCATCGTCCTCATCTTTACAAGGGTCAGAGTAACACGTGCGACAACTACAGGGATATTAGTTTGCCACATTCGCGTCTAGAATATTGGCTGCCGATTGGCTTCGTAGGCTGTGCAAAATACGCGAGGAGTTGATTCACCAAGAGCAGGCTGGGTTTTGTTCAGGCCGTGGATGCATTGACCACGTTTTCATCCTTCGTCAGTTGTTGGAATATCGCCACACTTATTGTAGGCTCACAACCGTTGCGTTCTTTGATATTAAACTTGCCTTTGATTCGTTGAACAGAACTGTCTTCTGAAACTGTTTGTTAGAGACTGTAGTACCTAAGAAGTTTGTTAACATCACAAAAGCCCTGTACAGGAATACCTCAGGTAGAATGAGGCCATACAATCAGCTATCATCACTGCCGCCAACTAACAGTGGAGTTAGACTGGGTTGTCCAACCTCTCCATTCCTCTTTAGCTTTACCATCAGTGACATTATGCAGTCAGCTCTGAAGGAAGTGAGTGGTCGTGGTGTTGTAAATCTGCTTCCTGGAGTAACTTTTCAACTTTTAGTATGAAGACGATATCGTCTTACTGTGCGATAGCATGCAGGCTGCCCAAGTCGCACTTATCAGTTTCAAATCAGTGTTTGTAGGTATGGTATGTGCTTTGGGCCGTCTAAGTGCGAAGTAACTTCAGAAAACTGTATGCTCGCACGTCTAAGTATAAAAATTCTATGATACCATACTTGGCACGTATTTTATGTGATGAAAATAGCGTCAGGCAAGAATTGATTAACCTTTTTTCATCTAGTAAATAAACAATCTCCTCCATCCATCCTTACATACCTTCAAGTTTCACTTTTATGATTTCTACTATATTCATAGTCCTGTTGCTTCTTTGTTTTTACTTTCATAACTGCAAACACCAACTTATCTCTATGACTGCTGTAATCTTTGTTTTTTTCCTCACCATATCATGTAAAGAGAACATTATATTCATTATTTCTAATCATGCAAGGATTTGCATACCGCATCGACAATACTGTGTGAGACAAGCCCATGGCAATTTCCACTTGTATTATTATCATTACCTTAGATGCTATCATTATTATTATTTGCATTTTATATGCTGCATGTTTTTTTGACATAACCCCTATTGTAAATGTTGAAAAATTTTCTGTGTGATTAATTTTATTTATAATTTGAGGAAATTAGATGAAATATTGTAATTAATGCTGAAAATTCCATTCTGTATCACAAGTACTGTTTTTGGAATAAAGTAAATTATTATTATTATTGTTATTATTATTACTGTTTACAAGATCGGAAGGAGCCTGTACCTTCACTCACCCTTGCAGGTAAACGACTTGAAGTGTTTGATAAGCGCGTGTATCTAGGTAGTTGTATGAGTGCTGGAAGAAGTGTGACGGACGACATTGCTGACCTTTTCATGAAAGCTAAGGTGGCACACGCCAATTTGAGACACCTTCAGCGCCATAGCGACGTTAGCCTGGTTGTCAAAGCTTGGGTTTGTACTGCTTTGTTGCGCGCAGTCTTGTTCCACGCCTGTGAAACCTAGCCTCTACGAGCTGAGGATGTGAAGCGACTCTGAGTATCTGATCATCGCTGTCTACATAGAATTGCTTGCATTCGATGGCATTATCGCGTGAGTAATTCTGAGGTCCAGCGGTGTGTGTTTGGACACAGTGGAGACTACCAATCATTGCGTGTCATCATCATATTTTCCCGCGTTAATGTTTTTTCTACCATACATTTGTGCTCACCATAATTCCTTTGCATTTATTGTTGTTTCCTCTATATTTTTGTGCGCTCCTATAAGGTTTGACAGCTTAAACTCTTGCAAAGTTCAGAGTCGAAACTTCAGTCCACTAACTAATTGAGTTTTACACATATAACTTCACACAAAAGTACAACCACACTCCATCCAGCAAGTAAAGATAGGAGAAAAAAACTTCAAGTGAACTATAATGAACGGGAGAAAGAATAATCACACTAAAAATAATGAGAATTCAGTAGATTTAAGAGTTAACAGAGATCGAATCAGTTTGTGCCATTCAATCATGTCATAAACAGTTTCAAGCTGTTCATTCTTTTAGAGTTTCAATGAGACTAGCCCACACGTGGTTCAAACTAACAGTCAAATAAGTTTATACACTGACGTCATATTTTAGTTCGGCCACTAACTCTTTTCCAACCAAACGTATCTCAAGTGATGCAAATTCACATTTTCTTGATTGATTTTCCCTTCTTGTCGCCTAACCTAACATATTTATTACCAACTTACACGGGAGAAAGATAAACAGATGAAGACAACCAGCCTCTGCTAATCTTTCACTTTCAACAGCCACGTCTCACAGACATGAAGAAGGACAGAGGGGACTTCTGTGCGTTGCTCACATCCTTTTATCGATAGCCATATATGTTGTGTCTACGCCAGAGAGATGATGTAACTTGACAAATACCATACTTGAATGCATAGTTTAAGTTTAATAGTTCGACTGCCTATCGCCTGTTGAAAAGATTCGCTGGGATACGATGAATTCCTTTGAAAGCTCTCGTTTTCTCCACTACATGACCACTATCTCAATTAGACGTGACAAAATTGAGCTACGGATTGTTTTTGTCTGTCCTTTGCCATCTCCCACCACGATGGGATGTTCACTAACACGTTGGTTGGCTAAGCTGTCTAGTAGTACACCCAAAATAACTATCACCACAGGAGCACAGTTGAATTGATAAATGCACACAGATGTGGCAAAACTATCTAGCTTATCCTTTGTTTGCGTCCCAATCATTCGTCGGCTAGAGAATGACAAACATAGGTACGCCGTACTTTAGTCCACATTTAACTCATACTGTCTCGGACATTTCATGATTTCAGTCCTTAAAAGAGTATTTCAAAGATATGGATGAGATCATGTGGCAGAACTCAATAAATATAAACTTCTTATTAAAAACTATATAGATAGTGAATAATATTTAGATTATGGGTTTTATGAGGATTTGGATTAATTCTAATGTAGATTACGTCAAAAAACCAGTTTGGAACTATTCAGTAGTCCTTACCTGTTTGTCTGTCTGTCTGTCTATTTTCGACATAGAACTTTGCACATATGTGCAGCAGTTCATGTCGCCACACTTCACTCAGCACACACAGAGGTGAGACAAAGGTATAGTAATAACGAAGAACAAAACAGTTTCATTGGAAATCACAAGTCACAAGGAGTGGATGCATCTGCGTTAGCCATTGAGAACGATTTTGAGCCATGTCACCAATTGTTTCCAACCATTGATTTTTACCGTCCCGAGGACCCCAACCAAGAAGTCTACACCTTCCTACGTGGCTTAAACTAACTGTTGTAGATTTCATTGACTGGTGCCATGTTTTCGTTTGACCGCCGCTAGCTCTTTTCCAGCCTGACCCTATATCAGCTAACATTGCCCGTCAGTCAAGGAAGGCGATGACTAGGCATACGTAACACATGTCCTAACCATCTCAATCGGTGTAACTTCACAGCCTCGTCGATTGATTTCCCCTCCTTACCTAGCACTCGATCGAAGCCTCCCCTCAATACTCCTCACCCTATTATAGCACTTCACAAGGGAGATAGAACGCAGACACCTATGATCGAAGACAGCTAATCTTTTCATGTCTTCCACTCTCAATGGCCAGGTCTCACAGCCATAAAGGAGGACTGAGCAGACTGATGAGCAGTACACATGTCCTTTGGTCGATAGCCAGTCGGATATCACGTCTACGCCAGAGACGGCGTAAACTGGCATATGCGAAACTAGCCCTCTGTATTCGTACTGAGATTTCGTCAACGATCAACCCGCTGGCGTTGGCTGATGCAACTTCCCAAATAAGTGAAGTGGTCAACGTGCTCTACTACTTCACTTCCTATTTCTAATCTAGGGGTCGGTGTAGTCCAATCCTGCAACATCATCTTACATTTTACAGGGGCGAATCGCATGCCAAACATACGAAGATTGCTGCTGCTTACCTACAACCCCACCAGGGGTCGAACCCAGAGTAAGCTAGACACCCTGATGCACTTCATAGACTCAATGATGGAAACTAATTGAAGATGATAACAATAAATTAACAGATAATATTATGAAAAAGAAACTAACCTGTGTATCATAACTTGATGTGTCAATGATATTAGAAACTCGCTCATTTGACTTCTCTTGCGATGAAGATGATAATGATGATTGTGTAATCCGTTGATTCGCTTCAACAACTTCACATAATGCACGTAGAAATGCTAACATTGCAATAATACGACCCCAATTGATACGTTCATTGAATAATTCTTCAAGAACACTATGAAATTGACATCTTGACATTTCTAAACAATTATTTAATGAATCAGTATCTGTTATTCGGTTGCTATTACCACCACCATCAGCTCCAGCTCCAGCGACATCATGACTACTTCTCATATTACTATTACTACTATCTTCGGGTAGCTTATTGTTATTATTATTACTATTGGTAGTAGTAGTAATATTGTAATTTCTATTCACAGTGTCTTCATTCATTAACTCAGCAGTACCTTCATGTTCACGATTACTGACACTTTCTGTTTCGTTAATATTGCCACTTTTGTTATTTAAACGTGCTACATCTTCTAACAGGCTACCCAATTTATCACGATATCTTGACTCAAAATGATCAGCTAAATTCCGGGCGGATAAAATTAATCGAGCTGTAATGAATGTTGTGGGCGTTTTTATTGATCCTACCGGTTGTGATTGATAATTTACAGATAATGACGAAGAGGAGGGTGAGGGTGAGGAGGAGGAGCAGGAAGGAGACGGTATTTTCGTAATTGTATCAGTAGTAGAAGTAGTAGATGTTCCAACACTAAACGGTTTATTGGCTTTTGATCCAACTTCAGTTGGGAGCTGGAAAGTACAAGTATACGAGGATAGGATGAACACAAGTATAATCTCGTAAGACAAAAAGTTGAATTACAATTGAATACTAACCAATTAATAAGGTGAGTGAAAATAAATTCAAATACAATGACACTAGCGGTTAACAGATCGTCATAATATTAACTACAACAAGAAAATGATAACAATGTTATGCATAATGGTAGAGAACTCAGTTATCCGGAATACACTTACCTTTTATCAGACTATGAGTCACAAAGTTATTGTGTAAAGACTGATGATACTATCATGCGGTCGTCTAACGAGGCTGAAGTGAGCAGAGGGGGACTCGAAGCCACGGCCCATTAGACGTAAATTCATTCCATAAGCCGATGGGGCCACACCACATTTTATTCGTATACAAACGAAATATTTGGGCATATTAATGGGTAGACGATAAATAATATTCGTTATACCAATTTCACGTTCAAGAATTAAAAATAAACTCCACAATTTGTTCTCTTCTAGGTATGTCTCACCAGTTTGACTGCCCTTGTGGAACCAGTTACACTAGGCGTACAATTAGACATATTCGTCATCGAATTACTCAAATTATCATTATCCACAATTAACCAAGGAATAAACGAAATCTGCTTTTAGCACCATTTTGACTTATCTTTTAAATATATTGAAGATAAAATCAATGTTAACAAGGCTTTTAAAGTTATCTACCATATTTCAACTGATCTTCGGTTTGTCTTTTACATATTATAGCTGAAGCTATTGAAATCCACCTGAAAAAGCTGAACAAATGCTTCCCCCCTTACCTTGGCTGTTATTACTTGATGATAAAAGCCTGACAATCTCCACTTCCGCATAAGCCTTTTACAAGTTATTATTGCTGTTTTAAGTTTATTCGATTATTACATAAATGTTCTTAATTTTACTTGATATAGTTCATACAAGCCGTGTGACCAGCCTCAGGCAGTTGTCCCCTGGGCTCTACGGTTACGCAACAATAACTCTTTCTATTTCAGCTACCCAAAGAATCAATCCAACTTCCACAGTGTGAGCAGCCGGGAAGCAACAACCAGCCACACACTTCCAAAAAGCACACGAAGCGCTTCTGAACATCATTCTCCTTTACCCACATCACCCTCATCATCTTACTTCCCTACTACAGTCAGTAGTATTCTGCAGGCTAGTGAGTCATCTTCACTTCACTCTGTGACCATAAATAACGACGGGAGACATAGAAACACCCCCCGACAGTCTCTTAAAGCCAAAACGCCAACTTCATATAGAAGCATTCAACGTCAGGCCCCTCTGCCAAACCTATCAACAGGCATCACTAGCAAGAACTCTGGCATCTCGAGCGAGGGATGTATGTTGTGTCTCGGAGACGCGCATACAAGACCTGAGTATGGTCATTCGCTTAACGACACTCGGCCAACAAGCTGAATCTGCTAAATTCCCTTTAAGGGTGTCAGGAGAGTCCCCAGCTAGTTCGCGAGGACTCGCAGGCATAGGAATAGCATTGAGTGTTAGGGCGGAAAAATCACTTCCTGATTATATCCCAGTATATAGTCGTAAGTATGCGGTTCTTCTGAATGGGTGTGTTAGAAGAAGGAAGAATGGAGTTACCCGACGTTGTCTTTTCGTAGTCTCCACTTACGCCCCAACAGACTGCAGTTCGGATGAACTAAAGGATAACTTCTACCAGGAACTTTCTAATTTGCTGCAAAAAGCAAAACGTTCAGATATAGTTGTTTTAGCAGGCGACTTCAATGTCCAAGTAGGGAAGTTATACGAGACTAAGAAGTATGTAGGTGGTACGTATGGGGTTCCCTGCCGAAGAACTGACGACGGTGATCGTCTTCTACAGTTCTGTTCAGATAATCATCTGTTTCTAGTCAGCATTAACTTTAGGAACAGAGAGAGACATTGCCTAACCTAACGACCTGCGTCACCAAATCACCGTTTGGACTCAGATAGACCATACAGCAATAAGGTATCGTTGGCAACGGTCAGTAGAAGACTACCGATCCTTCTGGAACACGTACGTAGACTCTGATCACACCCTGGTTCGCGCACGTTTATGCCTACGATTAAGCGGATGTAAAAAATTGTTGGCAGCGATCAATGTTACGTCTTCGACTAGACCGAAACTTTGAGTCCCTGTTTAAGGAAGAAATAACGAAACGCGTATCTGAAGTCGACAACAAAACTACTCCTGGAGAAGCCTGGCACAATATACAGTTAGCTGTAGACACAGCTGTAAAAGCTGTTAATAACCTAAAATTTAAAGTTTGTAAGAGCCATTGGATTTCTACCACCTCATCCGAACTGATTGACGCAAGAATACTGATTCCGGCGAGCTCTGAATATGATAAGGAGCGAAAGCTACTCAATTAAAAACTAACAAGAAATCTTCTCAACGATTGTGAACAGTGGTGGGTGACAAAAGTGAAAGAGATGGACAAGGTATCGGCTATAGGTAGCCCGAAAAACTGTTTAGACTTATCAGGTAAACAGGTGGTAAAAGGTAAATGATAAGTGAAACAATCTCCGAGAAAAATGAAGCCATAATTAGCTCTCAGAATAGACAACTGGAATGTTGCAAAGAATGCTTTGAGGAGCAATTTAACTGGCATACAGCCACGCTTAACTTGCTGAACACCCAGCACCACCCTGGATAGGATATAAACACCTGTTTTCCGTCCCTAACTGATATGAAACGAGGCAAAGCAGACAGGACCTGATGGATTGACTCCAGAGGTATTTAAGTACGGTGGAGACAGTTTACTGTCTGGATTAACTGAGGTATTAGGCAGCGTCTGAGAATCAGAGGAAGTCCCGTCGGGTTGGTGTAAGCCATTGATTATCCCGATATACAAGAAGGGAGGCAAGTCTTCCTGTAATAATCACAGAGGGATTAGTTTGACCAATATGGTATCTAAAGCTCTAGGCTCAATAATCATGCGTAGACTAAGTGATACTCGGGAGAAACAAACTAGAGAGAACCAGGAAGGCTTTTTAGCAGAAAGAAGGTACATGGATCACATCTTCACCATTCGACAGATTCTGGAACATAGGAAGACTGACTGGCGTCCAACAATCGTAATACTTCTTGACCTAAAGGCGGCATTTGGTTCCATCGACAGAGAGTTACCATGGCTATGTTTCGAAGTGAAGGGAATGTTGAGAGAATACATTGCACTGATCAGGGCACTCTACTTGGACTCATGCAGCCAGGTGACAGGCAGTGGTGTACTGTCCACCTTTATGGCTGTGAGTGAGATGTGACCATTGAAAGTAGCTAGCTAGCTAGCTTTCTTTGATCATAGGCATCTACATTCTACTTCCCGTGTTGTGGTATAATAGGGTGAGCATTACTGTGAGGTTAGGCTTCGGTCGAGTGCTAGGTGGTAGGTAAGGAGGGGAAATCAATTGACGAGATTGTGAAGCAGCTGCATCGATTAAGAGACATGGTTAGAACATGTGTCACACATGCCTTGCCTAGCCACCGCCTTCCTGGATGACAGGCGATGTTAGCTGACTGACATAGGATGAATCAGATTGGAAAAGAGAAAGCTAGTGGTGGTCAAACGAAAATATGGCTTCATCAGTCAATGAAATACACAACAGTTAGTTTAAGCCAGCCACGTAGGGAAGTGCAGACTGGTTGGCTGGCTAGTTGTGGTCGTGGTCCTGGGGATGGTAAGAACCAATGAAGGTTGGAGACAATTAGTGATATGGCTAGTTCAAGATCGTTCTCGGTGATGGCTGGTGCAGATGCATTCACTCTTTGTGACTTATCATACCCAATAAAATTCTATTGTTCTTCGATATTACTATTGTTTTTGCCTCATACCTCTGCTTTGCATTTCTGTTTACTTTCTCCTCTTGATTTGTGTACTAAGTTAATTGTGGCGACTCGATCTGCTGTACATCTGTGCAAAGTCCTATGGTGAAACCAGTCAGTCAATCAGTTACTTGATATTCAATTTATTGATATTTTTTATGCCTATTATCACTTACACTTGATTTTGAACTGTTAATTCTATTGACCATAACAACTCGATATTATTTAAGGCATATCATAGTATTGTCAATAACAATAGTAGCTAAATGTAGAAGTCGTTGAAAAGAATATTTTTGTTTGCAGCTCAATTTTTCCCTCTTCGTCTTCCAAATGAAATTTATCAATGATGATTTCAGTATAACTGTCAACTTAATCAACTCTATATATTACAATGCACATACTAATGAAAGGCAAATACGAAGAAACAGGCGACAAGGAAGCAGCATCATAAACGAAAGTAATAGTAAAGCAAAACATCAACATTGAATAATAATACGAAGTTGAACGTTAATCAGAAAATGATTTTTGCACCATACTACAAAAATATACACTAGGCGTTATATTCTATCAGTTGGCTAGTACTAACTAATATCCACTCACAACTACCAGGTAAACATACACTTTATAATACAAAGCAGTTAAATAAATTATAATGATAAATAAACTAGGTAGTTTAAGGTACAGAGAAAAATACAGATGTCAATCAAGCTTGAGCAGTAATCATTATTCACTCACATGAAATAACGCTAAGATTTCCGATGAAAAGTGAAATAAATGCATAAATATAATAAGTCAACTGTTCACTGTAAATACTTAATTCTACAAAAACCAAAAATTTGGAATACACAAGAATGGCCAAGTTATACTTTAAGCACCAGCGGAGTGTGACCTCACCAATGAACTTGGAATACTCAGTGAGCAAGTTAGTGAAACCTGATAAATAATATTGCGATCATGAATAACGCATGCTCAATGAAGTGTTATGTTATTTAGATGGGATATCTGACAAGTTTCAGCTGAGATTTGGTAAAGATTAAGGTTTAAACTAAGGACAGGACAGGTTAGGGTTAGGTTAAACTAACGAGGGCGACAGTAGGTTCCGTTTAGACGTATTTTCACGTTGGGGTTAGGTTAAGGAAAGATTAGGGTTAGGGTTAGAAGACCT